CACATGAATACAAGTGCGACGTTTGCAATCCCCACATCAATACAAATGTGACGTATTGAATGTTCACATGAATACAAGTGTGACGTTTGCAATCCCACATGAATACAAGTGTGACGTATAGAATGTTCACATGAATACAAGTGTGACGTTTGCAATCCCCACATAAATACAAGTATGACGTATAGAATGTTCACATGAATACAAGTGTGACGTTTGCAATCCCCACATCAATACAAGTGTGACGTATTGAATGTTCACATGAATAGAAGTGTGAAGTTTGCAATCCCCACATCAATACCAGATTGCTTGAGCCAGAGACTTTTCCACACAAAAGCGACGAATAGAATCGGATTGTATTAGCGTTTGGCTTAATGTTAAAACGGATCGTTTAGCTGTGGAAATTTGGTGTTTGTTTTCCTGATTTGTAGAACTTTTCTTTTTCTTTAGTTTCAAGCCGTATTCAAGATGTCTGCCTGCGATATAATAAATATCGGTAAATTGATCGCATTTAATTCTCTTATCATATGTAGGCCTGCTTACTATGGGAACACCACGGGATCGTCTCCATTCCGTTAACATTTTGGTACAAACTTCAAACCGTGATGCTCCCGATAAAGTTTTGACAGGAAGTTGAGATATTGCATATGAATTCAATAATTTCTTTACAAATATTGGCCCTGAGCTAGCCAGAAAAATTCACCCATCTGTAAATTTTAATCACTATCTCACAGGGAATTTACCGTCGTCCTTTTTCCTTCAAGCAGTCACAGAACGGGATATTATGGAATTTATTTACCGATTAGACCCCAACAAAGCAATGGGACATGATCACGTGCATCCTAAACTTGTAATTGATGCTATAAAGTATATTTCTAAACCTCTGGCGCACATTCTGAACTGTTCTATAGCTCAAGGTGTTTTTTCTGACTCTCTCAAACTCGCCACAATCACACCAGTAAATAAAACGGGATCTGCCCTGGATGTCGGCAATTATAGGCCCATATCTATTCCACCCGTATTCAGTAAAATATTTGAATCAGCTGTAAATCATCAGCTATTTGGTTTTCTAAATAAGTTCAACATACTCTTGTCCTCACAATATGGTTTTTGGAAAAAATACAGTACCGCCCTTGCCCTAGTTGACCTTGTTTCTGATATCACTGCCAACATGGATAACAGTTTTGTTACATTTGGGGTATTCATTGACTTAAAAAAAGCATTCGATGCTATTTACCACAATATTCTCCTTAAAAAAATGGCTTATTATAGGATAAGGGGTCTCCCGCTTTTGTGGTTCCGAAGCTACCTAACTAATAGACACCAAACAGTAAACATTGACGGAACTGCATCCACATCCAGACAGCTTCAATACGAGGTGCCCAAGGGATCAATATTAGGGCCTTTACTTTTTCTTCTCTACATAAATGATATTAACCACTCCACTGATGCTTTCAATTTCCACCTCTTTGCAGATGATACAAATTTATTTAAATACCTGCAAACTAACTCTATTGATCTTTTTAATATTAACAATGATTTTGAAAATGTTGTACAGTGGTGCAATGCTAATAAATTTACAATTAATGTAGAAAACACAAACTATATGATCCTGAAAATCCCGCAAAGAAAAGTAAAAGTGGAGGGACAGCTCGCAATCAATGATACGTTGATAGAGGGCGTGTCTAAAGCCACTTATCTGGGAGTAACCATTGACCCATGCCTAAATTGGAATTCTCATATTGAAAAAAATGTGAAAACCATTAGTCCCAAAGTGGGCATTATATCTCGCATTCGTCACTATGTTCCCAGATCAATTCTCATACTACTTTACAACACACTTATTCTCCCACACTTAATGTACTTTATTGAAATCTGGGGAAACACATACCCAACACTTCTTGAACCAGTTCTGCTTTCACAAAAAAAGTTGAGCGCCTTATCACCTCTCGCACTCATCTCGCACTTAAAGCACATTCTGCTCCTCTTTTTATCCAATTACGCATACTTGATATTCACAAACTTTGTAAATTACAAACCTGCCTATTTATCTTCGACCTTAAACACAGCAGATATGCACATAGCCTCAATAAGTATGTTAATGATTACTCACATTGCTATCCCACAAGTTCAGTGTCTAGCGGAAACTTGTCAATTCCTGTTGCTCAACTTACAGTTTCACAACATAATTTTAAATTTGCTGCAGTAAAACACTGGAATTCACTTCCAGAGTCCCTCAAAAACATCACCAACAGAAACAAATGTACATATGAAATGAAACATTATTTGCTTTGTTAAATTCCTCGATTACCTCCCATTTCTCTGCATTTTTTTCTTTTCTTCTGCATATAAATTCGTTGTACCAGTAGTTCGTTTATATTATTATTACACATAATATTTTAGTCATTTTTATATCTAAACCATATAGATATTTCGCTAGGCCACCACACGATTCTTCGAGATACCACATGTTGGAACATGAAATAGATACTCGGGAATGCATAATGAATTCATCGTGATAATTTACAATAAAGTAAGCTCACTTAATCTACTACTACTACTCGCTTGTACTAATTTGTTAATACAACAGGCAATTTCGTGAAAACGATATCGTAAGAAGGACGAGAGCCAATGTTATGTATTACATCGAGTCTGGTGGCAGAAGCCAGAATAGTTCATTATCATCGGATAGAAAAATAAAAATTGCGTTCAAATCACCGGAAATTGTGAATACATATTAGTTTCCAAAATTCAAGCTATGTATACACATTCTGTATTTTCAAAGTCGACTATATTCTCTGTGACCGAAACATACCATGTACCGTGAAAATGAAATGACAAGTGGGAACATTTTAAGAAATAATCAGTAACAAATCTTTATTAAACTTTTATTGAAATATAATATAGAACAAAGCAAAGAGGTCTCTTAATTCTCGTAACGGTCAGGAAAATAATTCCTGAAAATAATTGGATACATCCAAATATTGTATTTACAACACGTATAGAAATAGCATGAATGGACCGCATAATATCACATCAGATGGGTGCATTTCCTTCACATCTGACGCATATATCTCCATCCGCATCTGAATTATTTACCACAATGCATCTCGGTGATCTTGCATGTAAACTTGTTTTCGCGGTCCACGAGATGTGGCGGGCATCTTGAAATCAGTTTGGCTTGTCGGCAACGGCATTATATGAATTCTACGCAACTGTTTTTCTTCCAGTACAGTTTTTCAAGCGAGTTGGTAACAGCGGCAATAAAGCATACCAAATGAATACGGGTCTAGAAATAGTTGACACAAGTCCGTTTTATGCGTACGTGGTTAGAAAGCAAAAATATTGAATATTGCATGTTAATAATACGTGATAGAAAACTCGAATAAAGTAGTGGCATACTAATTGAAATACTAATTTACTCTCCAACTTCCCTCGGCGTTACTTGACTTTCACCGTACAACACGATTATAGACATCTCCCGCACAGTAAATGCCTTGATTTTGTTATTGTGTTAACGACAGAAATATAGATTTTATTCAAAGCACAACGACTTTGATGAAAAAGAGGCTTTTTACAAATTCGAGATTTTGGGACTTAGATACACAGAGCAGAGCCGTGGGACACCGAGGAGTGAGTGGGTTGATACAGTGAAGTAAACAAAAAATCGAGTAGGCATGGGGTAACCGTGGCGACACTTCAACGTGACGGAGAGTGTTGGTCATTTCATCCCTAGTGTGATACCTAGTAACGCCGAGATCGGAAACACTGGCAGTGTGATAACGAGTTAAACATGACAGATGCAACATTATAGATTACCCTGTCCGAAAATATACATAATACATTAAAATGGCAGTGTTAAAAATTAGCATATCACATAATATTGCAATATACAAGTATTGCATCGTGGCAAGTGTCACATGTATGGCAACATAGTAGCCTTTACAATTGTTAGCAAACGCACGCACACTTAATCACATTTTTCTCCGTAAAATTGCGCAAAGAATAATATTTCACGCGTAGAAAAATAAAATTGTACAATCGTCTACTTTATACATACATGGGAAGGTAGACTAGCACAAAAGTCACTAATTAACGATTGTAGAAAGAAAATAAACTGAACCAGGATGTTTAAAATCTTACAAACTAATGCTAAAAAACGCATCCTATACAATGCGGGTTTTTTTCAATGATCAATGTGCGGATAAAAAAAAAGAATTTGGATTACCATGATTAGTAGATCTTTACGATTCTTTTGCCTACATAAAAACGAAAGAAAATAAAACTACAATCATTCGAGATCAACCAGTACATGTTTCAAGGGGTCGTAAATGATGGTGACTCAACACAAGTAATAAACCAACAACATAATATATAGACCAGACACACACTTTAAATATGGTGTGCCCATGTTGAATTACATGTCACAGGTTAAAAAATCAAAAAATGTTGAAAGGAACGAGCCAGCAGAGTCAGCAGCATGCCAGTCAGCCAGCAGCATGAGAAAATAATTCTGTGTTTGGTAATTTGCATGTTATTGCATATTTTCCGATTATCACATTTCATTGAAATTGTCGCATTGTTTTGTTTATTTCTAACTATCACACGCCACTATTGAAAAATGCCTTTATAGACGGAGAATATAACCAACAATATGTACATTTCAATACTTGATTTGAAATAGCAAATATATACAAGAATGAAAAATACCGGGATTTTTTTTTCAACAAACGGCAGGGAAAAAAGTCGATTGTATTTACAAGTCATTTCAAAGTAAATATAAAAAAAATCAAATATCAGAATGGTAAAAATGTCCATATTCGAATAAAACTTGATTAAATTGTCCACTTTAAAATTGACAACATTACCTATGCAACACTTCACACTGAAAAGATGAAAGACACCTTCGCTTCAATAATTAAAGCAAATCACTGACACATTTTAAATGTATCAAAAAAGAATATGCTGTGTATGTAAATGAGAAAGGATCTTCTGTGTTACTATAGATCTGTGCCACTACATTCGGAATCATCATACCCGTCGCTCTCTAACCCAGTGACACTCGTTTCATCTTGGCTATCGTTCTTGAGTGTTTCATCTAGGTTCGTACTTTTGACTGGCTTCAACGGTGGATGCGAGTCCCTCCTCCTTACAAAGGCATCTCGTTTTTGCCAAACGCCGCTCCCAGACGAGACACTGGGCGGCGTCGAAGTACCTGAGCGTTGTGTGATCAAAGAGGGTCTGGAACCCGCTGATCCGTCAGAGGCAGTCCGTAACGGAAAAGAAGTCTCTTGAAGTGCACTTTGTCGGTTTGCGTTGTTTCCTTGTGTATTTTGAGTTTTTGGCACATTGCTTAAGCTGTCCGGATCATTTGCACCAACAGGTGGGGGCGTTGACATCTGCAAAAGGCGAATGACTGATCGCAAGTCCTGGCTTAAACTGGCAACATCCTGACTCAAGGTTGATACCTGTGAAAAAACGACAGCGAAATGATGAAGACGAACTGGCGTTTAACCCCTATGGGCATTAACTATATTTCAGGCAGCGTAGCGCAGCCGATACTACGTACAACAATTTGTACATGAGCTTGCATATCTGATCAGCAGTAGAAATGAACCAGAGAAACCGTTCTGAATTGTTATAGTACATGCGTAAAAATAAGTTAATCATTCGCCAAATTGTATGCACGGCGACCATATACGTACAACTCTTCAGTGTGTATATATAGTTATCTAGCCGGGTTTAGTCTGCGTAATTCAGTCAACAAATCTAAAATATTGCCTTAAGACTTCGGTGTATAATATTTGGCAATTTAATTAAAGTTGCGTTTATCATAAAGCGGCAATTTTAATGAAACATTTCCCGTGCCATTAGCCAAATGATAACGACCATTGCCAAAATATGGACACTCAATGACTAGTACATATACAATATACCGACGTTATACATCAAATTACTTGCAAATAAAAGAAGATTGCCGCGGGTTGCGTCCACGTCTCTAAAGGGTGCCATCTATTGAAATCCCGTTTTGTCAAGCAAGCCAAAGGGATTAGGGTACAAGATGACAATTTATCGATGGGAAAACTGTCAATTAATTTGCCATCTTGAGAGGCGAAGCCGCTCATAGAAGGTCTCTTACAGATGACTTCATGTATCATTCCCATAAGTGTGCGTCATAATTTTCAAAATATAAAGGAAATGGCGGCTACTCGGCCCTTAGTTTCCAAATTACATTTTATGTTACCTTAGCTTAGCTTGGCTAAAATAGTACTTCAGTGAGATGACGCGAAGTCATCTATATTTGGTTATTTAAAAAAAAATGTTCAAAATCACAGCTATTAGAATGTGTACAGTTGTTCGTGGTGAATTCGGTGCTATGAAACTGAGTGTTACCTGCTTATCCAACCTTTCAACACTGTTTCTCGTATACTCTACTTCTTGCTTCAGTTCGGCTCCCGCTATAGATTCCGTAGAGTCTGCTCTGTTCCCTAAAATAGAAAAGCAATATTATTTGAACGATTCTGTGCGGACAGTCACACGAAAGGTCACGTCATGAGACAACAGCTTTTGATTGTTTCGGTTTGTTCATTCTCGTGAGTAGCTGTAATCACTTAGTTCGTTGAGTAAAAAATAGTACGCGCACACATATAGCACAACACTGGCACACGCGATCGCAATCGCTGTGTGTGAAACTTGTGTTGAAATTGCGCCCTCTAGGGACGAATACATTATATCGCTATGTTTTTATCTTTACTGATAATGTTAATAATTACTGCCTTCATTGTAAACCACGAATTACAGAAAGTTGTCGCTGTGCACAACATTAATATCACCAATCTAATTTACGTCATTAGAACAGCTTCGTCGCAGTAAATTTACAAAATACAAAAAATCTCAAGATAGGGCCACAATATTAAATATTGAAATTATTTTAAACTAGGTTTAATGTTTAAGATCACTACATGAGCTTTATTTTGATACATTAATTGGAGATCTCGCTTTTGTATTCACTGAGATAAATTGTTTTACTGATTTGAAATGGTGTCATGTTTATCTCAGGTTGTAAAATACCATAGCAACACCCCAAACATTCGTTGGGGGTTATAAATTAGCAAGTCTTTGAGTTACACAAACTGATATACGCAAACCGTTTGCAAACGCAGAGAAACAACTCGAATTTCCGACGAATGTAGTAGTATTATTAACACACAACTAATCATAACAAGGATAACATAGCTCCGTACCCTGATATAGCTGACGTGGTGGGCAATTTGGTTTTACTGCGCTGTCCTGTTGACAATTTCCGGGTCGAGTCCTCGCTCTTACAAGGACAGGGCTTCGATTCCTCGAGCTCGTGGGTAGCTTGGTCAATGGAAAATCAAACGTCTTGTTTTTATACTGATTGTTATCGTCCTCAACGCCATCAACGAACCTAGGAGAGAACCAAGAGCATAGGTTATCGATTAGTTTTGAACAAATTCAATAACCAAAGATCGTTGTAGTATTAAGTATCGATTTGTGCCAATGCGGAAAAAAGATCACATAGCGAAGTGGTAATCGCCGTTAGTCGAGCATGCTGTGCCGGGCACGTGACCGGAACTTCCTAACACCAACAAATTATAGGTCGAATCTTATACTGTGAACTTGTGTTCACCAATGAACGAGACAACGGTAAGGGCAACCGGGAGTGATCCTCATGTGCCTGTGCTCGATAGGTTAGGGTATTGAATTGCTATCATGAAATTACGATAGGAACATCGGTGCTATATTCCAAATGGGATATATGTGTAAAAGTGTGCTGTCAGTACTGTATGTACAAGAAGTAACGAGAGGCAGCAGTGGCGTAACCCCACACAAACCCAATAGTTGTATCTCATTTCCCTCGCGGCATTAATTGCAACAGCCAGTACAATCGCCTATCGCGAATACATTCTGAAGTACATTGTTGTAAATACCTTGGACTGAGATCCCCACTGGGCCCACCGGTAGAGGGCGCGTAGGGAACATTTGGAATTTCCAGCCTCGTTACACCTTCTCTTTTTAAAGATGCTGGTGATCCTGTACTGTTGTCATCATCGGAATCATCTTCGTCTTCATCGTCTTCTTCGTATTCTTCGTCTTCGGAAATTGACGGCAGGTGGGAATGCAACCCGTTAAGTTCATTCTCAGACTGTGAAAAATTAAGGTGAAAACCGCGGCAGTGAGTACGATAAACCACGGTATAACGACGTACTCGCACAACAAGCGTAGAAGGTAACTGCTTCGTGCATAACAATACAACAATGTTAAGACGGAAATCCACGACAATGTTTACTACGCTATAGACATAGTAACAAGATACAAAATGTAGATAGGTCACCCCCAAAAAAACTGTCCAAGAATTGCTTCCACAATATAAGATAGAACAGATAACATTCTCCTTCAACTTTGCCAACATTTAATACTACAGCATTGACAGCAGAACAAGTGCAACAACTGGTGAAGTGCCCGAAAACGGAATTAAAATATTATAAAAAACCAGGTGTATGCTACACATTGGGTATTTACAGGCACACAAAGACTGCATATTTCAAATATATCAAGGCGTGGTTATTGGAAAGATATTTGAAGCTAATATAACGTTAGTTTGAGGAAAATCGAACTCAAAGTTCCAGCATTAAGTTATTTCGCATGTGGCAAATAGTTAACAATTGCAATGAAAGGTAATGTTGTGTATGATCACGATATACGTTTAATTGTTTGCGGACGTACTAATACGCAGAGAGAAATGAAAGATGGAGCAGCTTAGAGAAGTTACAACAAAAAGGGAAATACTGTCATGAGAGAGAAAAAACACTTACTTTAGGAAGTCTGCTGCGGGGTTTTAGTAAACACTAGTCCAAAAACATACATACGAGACATTTAGGTAAAACGGGAAAAGTAGTGTATTAGGAAGTGGTACTATGAGTAGGAAAAGTATTGATAAAATGGTTTTAACAGCATGCAAGTCTAGGTATTTAAACTGGCATGAGATTTATTGAATGGATGAAGTGTTTACAAGTCTTATTCATGCAGAGAAAAACAATCAATATACCGGAAGCAAATTAAACCAAAACAGATGGGAATCTCGACCACAGGCATGATATATCAAATTATTATGAATATAAATGATTTCATTTAAATATGCAGTCCTTGATAATACGTTACAGAATGAAGACACAGACAAAGATTACTGTAATATAAATGTAACTGTCTTTCCACGATGAATGAATACGTGGCCTGACAGTCCCATGCAAGATGTAAATACTATAAACGTAATTTTGAATGTCGCATGCACACATCAGATACCCCGTAAGTGATAATGTATTTCCAAAAAAAATAATAAATAAATGAATAAAATACTTTGGGGTGATAGAGATAAATCCACCCAATGCTAAGAAATGTTGTTTGAACTTACTCTTTTACGACATGTTCTCTGTGGATGGGCCGGGCAAGTAGAAATGAAAAGTTTTGTTTTCAAGAATTGTCATTAGAAACCAAAGGTGAGCGTACACACAATTTAAACACGACATAACATGTAACTTTAATTTTTATGGGAAAAATGAACAACTAACCAGCAATACAGTTATACTCAAAAGGTGGACTAAATAAGTGAATTATTGTTATAAAGGTTGTATAAGTACTTACGCTGGGTTTAATATCGTCGTCCTCGCGCTGGGTGTTCGGTAAAAGCAGGTGGGTATAAACAAATGGATCGATGTGAGGATGAGAATAGGTGCAAGTTGAAACAAGCAATGCACGTTGTGTAACAATTTGATTAACACATGATATTAATCATAGGCTTTTTTATATGTATTTTTTTTTCTCCGTACATTTGTTATGAGTCAGACAGACACTGCTCTTCGGCAATGGATTAGTCTGCTGGTCGTGCTAGAACTGAATACAAATTCCCTTGCCTGAAGTGGCAGGTATTTTCAGGGCACAAGGTTACAAAACAAACAGAATATAGCCTACAATGATACATCATATTGCAATACAATTGGGCCACTCAAGATTTCCAATTTGACGGAATAACGTTAATTTTTATTCTAAGGCTGTATTAAATAGTTAGATAGCTAGACTATGGGGATGTTTAGATGGAAAACGTCACATTACCGCGCCTCATTGTGGTTATTGGTCTTGTATGACCTTCACAACACGCGCTAAGTACAATGTTTCTTTAATCAAACGCGTGCGGCGTTTTCGAACGGTGCTTCAAATTATTTAAAAAAAAATCAATTTTAATTTTATTGTACAGAACAACGTAATTTATTTGCATTTATTTATTAACCCTTTCACAGGTATATCCCAGTCGCCCCGCAATAATTGTTCTGCTATTCGTTGTGACAGGGATACTGTGATTGCGTTCGCACATTGAATGTTTTCTATCAAATGGGCATATTGTACTCTTTCTCATTGCTAAGCGGACAATCGACCATAGTCACGGTAGTCAACGGGCAGTGTCCGTTTCGCTGGGCGGACACTCTAACCTTTAAGCCACGCATGACACGTCCAGTATAATACCATAATGATTTGAATTTGAAAGTGTACTCACATCCGGGTCGTATCCTTCTCTGAGGTTGTAGGTGAGGTCGTGCAAAATCTCCTGTGCAAACTTTGCAGCGTACTCCGGGTAATTAGTGAGAACTTCTGATAAACCTGACCTGCTATGTACAATAATAAAAAAAAATTCACTTGTAAGTAATTAGTATCTTTTGGTATGAGAACAGGAATACAAATCGTGCTAGAAAGCAACGTGTATGTCATACAACGAGTTGTTGGTGACTGTGCAACTTTGATTCGACACAATTAACTGTCAACCTGTTCAGAAATGTCGACCGATTTGAAATCTTCGCTCTCATGAATAATTATCTGACAATACCTGTTCAAAGATTGGAGATCGCAGTACGTTAACGCATGGACGTCACCATTAGACTGGACCACTGTGTCGATTTCCGTCGATAGGTCACACCCGAACAAATCGCCCTTTCCTATTTGAAGTACGACACAAAAGTAACACGTGATTTGAATATTGTGACAATGAATGCAAAAACAAAGTTGAAGAAAGCGTATATAACTATTCAAAGAACGCTAAAAACCTAACTCTGTTGAAAGAAAATTTACTAATACATATGTATTTTGCAATGCAATATTGCTATATTTTAATTTACACAGACCCATCCCAGGCTTACCTAATATTGCAACAACCATGCCATCTCGTCGCACTTCCATGGACCCGTTTAGAAGATACCAAATTGAGTTAAGGGGATCACCTCTATGTATGAGATACTCCCCGGGAGCACAAAAACTAGTTTTTATGTGAAGCGAAAGGGATCTCAAGCAGCCAGCACTTGCGAGTTCAAAAATTGGAAGGGACAGTATTTCTTTATGAAGGTGCATGCATATATCTGCTCGCAGCTCTTCCGGGAAATCTCGTAACATCTGCCGGGGATAAAATAGAAAAACAAATGAAATAGAAAATGACAAAAGAGGTAAATAATGTGCGTATTGTAGTAAAATCTGTTCGATCTAAAGTACAAAGGGGAACACGATACTTGACAAAAAACTAGCTGTATATGTTATTCAACCTATATCACGTGTCCGTTCTCGCTTGCGTTCTTCTCTACACCTTACGTACATTACAAAATATTTTTACAAGGAAATTTCCACCATTTGTCTCATGAGTTGAGATGCGAATCGGAATACCTAATTTGTTAGTCATAACGAGAAAAAGTTAAAGATAACAATCTTAACATAAGGTAACAATCATAACATAATTCACAAACTCAACTACATGCTGTGATTTACCTATTCATGATTGTTTAACAAACGTTGCTTAGACTAAGTGAATTAAGTCATTGTAGAGTCAACCACCGTAACATTAGCCTAATAGTCGTTGAAATAACACTAAAACGATGTTTTCTCACGAACGTCCTCAGTGTTAAACACGCACGTGACTCACCTCGTGCGCGTCAATTCCGTTTGTCATGGACCACAGTGTCATAAAATACTCCATTATCCTCCTTTTTAATGGCTTTGGAATGTTTTGTGATCTCGTAAAATCCTTCAAGTCTCGTTCCCGAGCTTGGTAGAGAGCTCTTCGAGAGTACATACGTTGGATAATCGCAGTCACATTACCGAATATTACGGCATGCATGAGAGCTGTGAAATTTAACATACGGTGCATCGTTATCTGTTTTGCATATCTACAAATCATGCGGGGTGATAAAATGCTTCCGGTTCCGAATGAAAGCAAAAGTAAACCTATCCAATTCTACCATTTATTTAAAGAATCAAAGGCAAAAAGGAAAACACATAACTAGATTAGTCGTCTAATGCGTTACGAAAAATAAAACTCAGAAGCGACCTTGGAAAATAAAGGGGAAAAAAGCGTATTGGTTACCCAGTAATATCCTAGCCCTCTTCATACCTCGAGATGCTCTAGCGACTGATAATGACGCCATACAAATGTAACTCTCTGGACGCCATAATTATTCATTTCGCACATTTGTATATTTATAATTTTGGAGCATCTGAACATAAATTCTTTAATAAAGTTTTGATCAAAATGTTTGAAATGTACGGTAGCAAATTATGGGGACTGAAGTTGACTTTGGCGTTAAAATAAAACAAAATAAATACCTCCAATTAGCATTATGACAATTGTGAATATTTTTTCGTTATTCGTATCAGCTGACACATTCCCAAAGCCGACACTGGTGATAGTACTTAATGTGTAATACAATGATGTGATATACAGGTCATCAACGTTGGTGGCGTTAGGCCAATGTAAATTAAGATCGTGGACCAGATCGTGTATCCAACCTTCAAACGAAAAAAAATGAATTAGTAGATTATTATCACCATTCTTTCATGCGTCGGGCCCCCCAGTCGACATCCATCTATCGAATCCCATCTATTTCATATTTTTTCATGAATGTTCGTTGTATGTTGTATTTTAATCGATTTATCGAATAAATGTTTTTTGGTAGAGTCATAAAAACGTCATTTTTTAAATAAATAATGATAACATTTTGCCTAGAGCATTTTGCGATCACTCTTGGTATTAAGTGAAAATAAATATTGCGAATAACACGCAAATATAACAATATATACTCTAATCACAACCTCAACATCGTATTGAAAACGTACAATGTATATCACTCTCATATTAGAAAATATAATCAATCCGTCAAATATGTTGATTACCCCCCACTCCCTCAAAGAGCACTTGACAAGTAAGTATATGTTGTCTCACCTGCTGTGGCATGGTCTGCATTCTGTAACTCTTGCTGGCCAATCACGTACCATACGCACGCCAACCAATGCGCCACCAAAGCGAACATACACATAAGGAAGGATATAACAACTGCGCTGTAGTTAGAATATCTTTCCATTTTTTGTAATAGCCTTGCAACCCGTAGAAGACGAACAAGTTTCAGTAAATACATAGCACCAGTACCCTACTGACAAATAGCGATAAAGATGAACCGAGTACATTTATATTTACAGGCAACTGGTTATGAGTAATCTACATTCAATGCAAATAGCTGTTGATTTTTCGCATTCACTGGTTCGAATGTCATTACTACACAGATCATTCGAACAGTGGACAGATCGAGAGAAAAGAGAAGAACACAACTTACGGACGAAAACAAGTCACGTGCCTCACGATATTTCAACGAGAAAATGGCGGCCATTCGTGTCTAAGGCCCAGCTATTCAAATCAGCAAAATAGGTGTTAAAACTCTTGTTGAGATCTCGTTGGAGGCGAGAGAGCCACGAGACTGGTTTTGCACCTACAATAGCGTTTTCTTTCCCTTCATCGCGTTCACTTTTTACACATATCATAGTTACACGAAACAGTGGCCGCCATGACGGAAGTGAATGGTACACGATTTGAGACAAGTCTCGCAGCTCTTTCGCTCCCAGCGAGATATCGACGGCCATTGTAGTCTATACACTACACTATCCGCTCGAGTGTATCTGGAAGCGCATCCGGGAAAAACACAGAAAAAAGAAATTATTACTCACCGTATTGATTTTTGCCAAATAAAGTAAATCAAGAGGTATTGCAGCCAAAAGATCAATAAAAAACCAGCTTTTAAGATAGTGAATAGTTATAGCCCTTGGTGTATATACAACTTGGCCCGACTCACTGACGTATGTTGTGCGGAAGTTTAGAACGATGTCTGTTGATTGAAAACCATGAAAACACTATGTAACTATACGCATCAAAGGCGAATTGTTGCATCGAAATATGCGGTTAGTATGAGGTCAATATTGTTGGTAAATGCAAATAGATGAAACATACTTTAATACATCAATTAGTAAATTGAATTACTAGTACATAAATAGGTACACATTATAAAATAAAGAACAACATTTAGTTATATCATTTACTCACCAAATATAAAAAGGAATTCAACTATAAGGTCAGTATAAATAGCTGTACTATCCGTATTTTTTTCCTTGTAGAAAACCACATTATACGGCACGACAATGGCAACATAAAACATTGCTAAAAGTATTAGCCAATCCCACACCGTTTTGAAAGTACTATAATGCAAAAGAATGAATCTAGACTTTTTCACAGTTGCTAGTTTGTACTCTGGTAAGGTTGACCTCTTCGTAGGAGCAAGGAGGTTCTGTGGGAACAGGTGAAAAAAGGTCACAAGTTACTAATAGTCAGATAGAGAATAAAGTACGTATTTTTAATATTAAGTCTAAGTCTAAGTTAAATTTTTTTGTAAAAACCACGTTGTTTATATTTTATATTTGGATATATCCGAATGCAAAAGTGCCCAAGTATTTTTTTCGTTTATGTAGCTCATTTATTCTCAACATTTTACGTGATTAAAAGCTAATTTTCCATAGTTAATACGCAATGTCATAAACAACGTGTTTTAATTGATTCATAAATAACGTGGATTTTACGAAACCCTTCTGACGCTGCAATTATTGATTTCTTGACATAGTTCCAGACTTATTTAACAATTTCACGTTTGATTGAGTTGCATATATTTAAATTAGGTAGCCAGAAATTACAAGGAAATAATTAGGATACATTGCGCATGCGTATAACGCCAAATACAGCAATACCCATATATGGTATTTATGTATGTTTGAGAGTCGATCTGTATTTCTTCACAAGTCGAAGTACAGGTTTTAAAATAGGCCTTATTCGCAAATGGGGCTGCCGAGATTTCGTTGAGAACGATACGAGAGAGCCACGCGATTTGTTTTGTTCCTCATGTAGTGTGCCATTCTTTCTCCCGTCGTTGCCCCACTGTTCCAAATACCATAGCTACGTTGCTCAGGGGAACAGTGGACACGATACGGTACAGAATGAAACACTATTTGAAGAGCAAGAACAAGCCTCGCTACTTCCTAGCTTTCAACGAGATTTCGGCGGTCATTTGCTTTTAATGTCGATTCTCGCATAATTGTAATGTATTGTATTGTTTTTAACCTGGGCGTATTACTTTGTATATGGCTTTTGTACCTAATATGGACCCACAGTAAATCTGGAAATACATCAATATCTCGGCGATTACCGAGTATAGTTTAGTTTAGTTTTATTGAGTACAAAATAACTAAATTAAAAGCAAAGTTCGGTGTGTCGTTTACCTTTGAAGAATTTAGTATGCAAAGATAAATTATTTAGATAGCAGAATAGAAACACAAGCATCTCGATTAAATTATTCATTGGCAAAGAAACCTGATGCCGAAGGTTCTTGAGTTTGTATAAGTGTATACGTGTGGTGTTTCATGGCAAGGATGCAATCTGTGACAATTGAACTGAATGGAGATGCATGCAATGTATTTTCTTATCATGGACCATCTGTGTCGTGCAAATTGGAGCAAAATTCGAACTGGGAGTCCGATTGTTAGTAAAATTAAATATATATATATATTCACACGAACATGCAACACACAATTAACTGTAATAGATTTAAAACTTAATCGCATGTCGAGCAGGAAGTTAGTCCCAGAATCAAACCGTTGATAAAACGCTAGATTGTATAGGTTGTACCTTCCTATGTGCTTTTGTCTGCCACGTGTAGGGGTAAAAAACATTATACGGACTCGTTAATACTTGCGATAACAGTGAAAATCAGCTATATATCTTCCGTAAGTAGAATGACGAGTTTTACTAAAAATGGTGATCTATAAATAGTTAATATATATTAAATATAATAATAAGCCAAACATGCATTAATTATGTTAAATAGTTAAACTAAATAAATAGTTTATAGTAGAAGCGCAAATGTATTTTTTCACGCTATTATGTTTTTTACTAGAAAACAAATACTTTTGCAAAACAAATATTAATGAATTATATTTTTACTTTTAACTCTAAATGGTCGGTGCAGTCTGATTACCAAACCCCTCGATCGGGGAGAAATCGCAACGATTACCCCAACCGGAATTAAACGCAACCTGCATGATTACCCTAACCGGAAGTCAATGCAACCTGTATAATTACCCCAACCGGAAGTCAACGCGACTGATTACCCCAACCGGAAGTCGACGCAACCAGCATGATTACCCAAACCGGAACAAAAAAACGGGACATGCACGATTACTTCAACCAAAAGTCGACGTAATCTGCATGATTACTCTAACCGGAATTCGATGCCATTAAAGTACACGTCACTTACATTACTGAGATTTAATTTTCTTTTTTTCCTTTGTTTTGTTTGAAGATGCCCTGATAAGTGATACAATACTGCTCGACTCCGTCGTCTTTGGTAATTAAACTGTTTTCCCGATCCGTTGGGTGTTTTACCTCCACGCCCTCGAAGATATCTTTGCCTAATGGCCTCCTCTTCATCGTCACTGAACTCAGCTGCAGGGCGAAACGAAAACAAAAAATATTTAAACAACTCTCTTTTCATTTAATGTCATTAAACTATTTCTGGGCAATCAAAGCATTTTTAGATTTCGTTCCCTATCGGAAGTTAATAAAAATCATTTATAATGATAAACGATGTTCAAATTTCAAAAAACAACTTTTCAACTGAGCAGGAGTAATTTATATTGGCACAATTTTATAGTCAGGTGTCTAATCACGTGCGTTGCGCACTAGTTGATATATAGAAAATGGCGTGAATTACCTTCGCTACTTTTGTCTTCTTCCATGTTGGTTACTTTCGTTTTCGTGATATCCTTAAAAGACGCAAGAAAAAGAACTACTTCTCCTTTTTCATTTTTAATCGGTACGATGTCCAGTAAGCACCAAAAAGGAGTTTCTGTAGAAACAGGAATATTAAGAATTATGGCGTGTTGGGATACCGTATGAGCAACCATTTAAAGTCAAGTTATAATGTGCTAGCTTATTTGCATATCCGTGTGTGCGTGTTGAAGTTGCAATATGGCTGGGTTCATGTAACGTTTCTTGTAATTGATACTGTTTGTATGTTGATGAACACGTATAGGTTGTAGAATGACAAGCGACCTATAAGAGGTTTTGAGGCCAGGAAGCATGAGTATTATGGGATACGTGTTTATGCTCCTGTCTTCAAGTTGATTACCATGATATTGCAGAGAGAAACGGTCTGTAAATAATAATATTCTATTCTTACCGCTTTTTTTTTGGAACATGACCTCCGTTTTAAGTTCTTGTTTATGTTCAAGTGAATTTTCAATCTCTTCTTTTTTGTCCTCGTCGGTTTGCGCGCCGTACAGGAATTTACAGGCACATCCTTTTTGCATGACTTCGGCTCGAGAATAGTTCGTAAGTTCACAGAATCCATCGGAACAGTAGACGATAGGGTAACCATTTGCAACCTGGGCATTGCCAAGGACGAAATTGCTGTCTATAAAATAATGAAAAAGAAAACCGGGGTTATTTTTTATTTATATTCAGGAGTCGTTATTTTCACTCACAAGGAATTTCTTCACAAGAGAGTACACAGTACGTTGCAGTATCGACTTATGTGATACAACTGAGGACAGAATAGCACGCAATTAAAGCCTTGATAACGCATCATCGCGTCTTTAGACTCGCAGCGTACACGCAATGTACACGCTATCCTGTCCTCCGTTATATATAGACTACGATAATTGTCTTGAATCAACCACCAATATTCAACTGGTGATGTGTAAAAGAGGCAAGTGGAGACCCTGGGCGATGGTACAATGATAGGGGTGTTTCCCTCGCACCAGAGAAGTTCTGGGTTTGATTCATGTTAACTGTTCAGTCAGCGCTATAAATAAATTGTACAGTCTGCCCTGTCTTTCAAACACGTGGTATTAGGGCTCAAAGATAAGAGACAGCAGAGACTTTAAAAGGCAGTTGTCGTCGCACAGCGCGTGCTCGAATTTCATTTGAATGAACAATGTATTTTACAATAACAGAACGTGGCGCAACGACCACCGCCCTTTAATGTCCGGAAATGCCGCCTGTCACAAAAGGGGTATGTGTCGGGTTATATGCTCTTCCCCCTTGTTAACTAGGTATTCAGCATTTCTTTGAAACAAAAATAAAATTAATTTATATACTAATGTAGCTACGTTTTTTTATGATTGTTGTTTTAAAGTAATATACCATACACTGTTGCGCTTGACGATAAACGCTGAGGGCGCAGTTTGCATGGATGAAACCCGAAGGGATCAAAAAATATCATGTCGCATCTCAACTGATTGATGGCGCAACGCAGTGACTTTCAATAACCGCTGCTTAATAATGGCTTATTTATTGTGCCAAGACGTCGATATGCAGTTATATATAAGAAAAAACATCCATATTAAAAAATAAAACTATTAAGAATACGCTCGTCGCCGGTGAAGATGCATTTTATTTTTAAAAAGTGCGATTATCGATGTGTGCATTAATTAGTCCTGAAAACAATAACAGGTCGGCGTGACGATCGCCTTCACGTCCCGTAGTCGTAATCACGTACATAATGGGCCTGTAAATGCGCCGATAATTGACTTAAATCCTCCGCAATACAGACATGAATAGAATTTCGTGTTGCTAGTCTTAGTGATTTCTTTTTGTGGAGTTCGAAATTTGAAGACAGGGAGAGACATAGAGAGGTGAACACACTTTACTCGAACGAATTCAAAGACGTTCACGTCTTGTGTATACGTTCGTCATTGTTTTGCTATCTAACAGTTGTATCATGGATTAATACATGTTCATTGATTAAAATCATTTAAAACTGAGCACAGTATGCGGCAAACAAATGGAGGAGACCATCGATAAGTACCACACAATTCAGGGGAAGTGGGTGGACACTCTTTGCATTACTACTTAGTTTCAGCCGAATGTACATTTGAAAGTGAAAACACGGTCATATATGTTCGCAGGTTGAAAACTAACAAATCTCTATCAGCAACATCAACGTGTTAGGGATGTGTAATCTGGGCCCACGTCTTTCAGTAAACAAATTCACGTCTCCTTTGTTACACTATGCTCATACATGTATGTCTTTTTTCCAAACACAGTAGTTGGATTTATTTACTAATGTTAAACAATTACTAGTTAATAAACGCAATGAAAATCTAACAATCTAGGAACAAGTCGAATGTCAACAACAACTCCCGGATAGCCGTGTTCGGTTGAACGTCCTTGAGCTAAAACGAGAAAATAAAACGAAATTGATGAGTCGTGTACATGGAACCCGTCACATTATTATCACGGTGATCTATCACTTACAGTGAAGCGACCTGGCATGCATACCTTTCATACAAGTGGATTGAAACTTAAAGTTTGCCCTCGCACGGTACGTTCAGAATTCACGCCTCGCTAGACTCGGAGTCGCATCTGCGGGTTCGCGGGTTCGCGCGACAACAATACATGTGTAATATACATCCACACGAAACCACGTGTGTTGGAAAGAAATTATTTGAAAATTTCCTCGTCCGATGTTGCGATGATAATGTTTCACCCGAATGCGGCTAAAAATGTGAGGCTTTAACACTGTTGACATGACAGTCTGTGGATTTAATTGAATACTGTACCTGAAAGTACTAGTGTTTATGTGGGGAAACTGTTCGTGAATCATCGGTGCCTTTAAATAAAAATTCTCGACTTTTAAATTACATTCCATTAATATAGTAAGTTAGATGAGATTAGGACAGTTGCGACATGGTACGCACTGTAAGCGTGGTATGCCCGTAGCTACGCTTCAATTTAGGCCGATTACTAAACGTGTTTGGGGATGTTACGGCATGTAATCCTAAGTGTTAGAGTACCTGTCGCTATTGATAAAAAATTTTCACGTTAACGAATGCGGCCTTGAGTGGTTTGTCAAGCGTACAAGTCAGGCAAGCTGTACTGCGATAACGAGACATATTGCAACCTTATTCCTTTCAAATAGAGCAAAGCAGTATTGGCAAGCTTATAGTATATGTGATATTTGCTGTATGTCACTCATGACCCGTATGACCTACAACGAGACAATATTTTGAATATGCGGCTGACCTTGACGGTTCATTAAAATTCGCCCTCTGTTGATGCGTTTGTGACAGTGTGACCTTCAATAATATAACTGCAAACTCAATTGGTTAGCTACAAGCGCTTAGCTAAAGTAATATGAACTGCCAGTCAACATAAACTGCATTGGCTTGATTATTAGAAGTTAGGGCTGTGTAGGTACTCGCTTACAATCCTGCAAGTTGCTCCGATTGACTCAGATAAACAGATATGGTGACCATACTACCTGGTTTAGCGATATACTACAGTGCCTGTGCGTTCAGTGGACAAGGACAAAGTGAAACATTGACAACTTTGCTTTGTAATACGCAGGTAGACCGATTGATCTACGAAGCCAATAGCATAAATAACAATATTGTATTTTCCCATTTGAGTTTCATTTCCCTTCAGAATTTCATAAGGTCATATTTTCATGTAATAGGTTTCATTCATCAAAGTCTAACGTCTAATTAATTATGCATGCTAGATATATTGAACTGCCATGACGCATATATACTATACGACTAGCAATGAACAATATAACAACACAAATTCCCAAAACAATTCACAGAGGTAATCTCAGAAAATGATGAACATGACATTTTGTTAACAGCAATTATGAACTTATCAATTAGTCATGCAAGATGTACATACTGCGGGGAAAAATATTAGCCATGATGGGATCAGAGATGCTAAATAATCCGCACGATGTAGATTCAGACACTGTGTCAATATGCCAGAGATTACTGAAATTGGTTACAAACAACAAAATCAATTTAACTGGCACACGTATTCCGAGAATGTCTTAAGCGATAAGCGTAATATATAATGGTACTAGATGGATAAAACAATCCAGATCGATGTGCCCACTCCGTGCAATGCCAAGCGATTACATCACACAGAAGATCGAAATGCTATCAAGTATATTTTCCAGGGCATTCACTATCTGACAAGATGCATTTATTGCAACGCTCTATATACCCAAAGGACAGATAACTCAAGTGGTTGCAAGCAACGTATAAAATACTCCAAGAAAAAAGTTGACAATGTGAATATCCCTTTAGGCAATTTAAGAGCATTGGGTTTAGCGCGTGGACTACGTAATGCATTTCGAATTTCTCAAGTATGCCAGCGTGTAGTATGTTTCTTTTTTGCGTACACTTACAGAAATACATATTACAACGCAGAGCGAAGAACCAATACAAGCACCAGCAGGAAAGACGTGACTACTGAATGTACGAGGAAACATTCAGATAAAACGCGAACTAGACGTTAACAGACAAACTAGACCCTAGTTGATGTTTCCGGAGGAGCAAAGATTACCCGCACAAAGAGATGACCCAAATAACATCCTTCTGAAAACTGTTGATTTCAAGTACAACTCGCTTATCATTTAATAATGTTAATTCTCGAAAGTATCCAATAAATATACATTTGAACGCACACGCATTAACTTTTACTAGGCTTAGAAATCATGATGTATATGTTCAGGTAATAAATATTAATTTATTTTATCACTAGCGTGATTTCGTCCTAATTCACGACTTAATTTGACAGTAAAACTTAGTACTCACTCGAGAAGCACTTCACAAAAAGGCTCCTTTGAGACCATATTTCCATGTTCTACAAACTTACATTTCTAATCAGTCTAAGAACAACGTAAATAGCTTCTCTAACTACATGTATAGTTTATACTTCAGAGCTAAACAAAAGCAAATATTCTTCCTCAATTTTTTTCAAAAATGCATCAACACTATAACCATAATGCCCTTTACAAAAATATTCTTGAAAATAAGTTTCCGTCGAGAGTAATCCTGTATCAGATTAGGAGGAGATTGCATTGTTCCTCCTGAGGGAACCAGGTGCTTTCTTTCGTCATGCCGCGCATCAAGGTGATTTAATAGCAACCAAGCTATTCTTACGACGGGAGCATACACTTAACAAGCAATCTCTGATAGGAAAGATTTAATAGGACACTGGACAGTCATGCCCACCTGAGACCGAGATATCTGATCAGGGATGCTGAACAGCAGTGGACTAATTCGATTCTTTCTCTCAGTCTCTAAATACCCTTGGTACCAGGAGACAGGACATACTCTTTTTTTTCAAAAGCTGATGGCAACAACATGTGCCATTTTTAAAATCAATCGTGTTACAGTGATTAAAAAAACCACAAGCTAACTTTTTCAAGACTATATTCCCTCGTATAATTATATGTGTACATGTTCCGCGATATAGCTCGTACTATTTTCTCGTCTTGCATATAAATCATTGACCGAGTAGCTATATTACTTTCAAGGGAATTATAAAAGAAAAATATTATCGCACATCACACATTGCGTAGGGTCGGCGGAGGTCGAGGTAACCAAATTCGAGCATCGAGTTTAATTGCATCAA